TCATCGTTCATTAGATTTCATCTATTTCATCTATTTTGTTACTTATATATAGTATGGATGAATATGTATTGAGTATAGATAGATTAATTTTTTGTGTTTATTTCAGATAGGAGCGAAAGATAGTATTAGGTTCAACATAACAGAAAACTTGTTCAGATGAACTATGTAATCATCATTAATACAACTTGAATAATTAATTAATCCCTAAAGAATTATGGTTATTGTTGCAAATGTTAACATTGTAAACGTACCTCGTCTTCTTCGATATTTAACTTGATATCTTTTGAAGTAAGCTACATATATATATTGATGTGTTGATATATTGATGAGATAATATAAATAGATAAATAAATAAAGATTAATTATCGATTAATAATTGTGACAAATTATCTATAACCACCCTGTTAAACATTACCTTTATTTTTCACTATTTTAACAAATGTCTTTCAACGATCAATCAGTTGCAAATTATTTGATAATTGAATTTTCAATAGAGTATTAATGAAATAATAAATGGTAAAAAGAACGAATTAACAAAGTTATCATAGTAATAAATAAATTTATAATAAATTTGCTATTATTATTATCTAGTTATTGTTATTTTAAATAAATAAGTAGTTAATGGTTCCTTAATAGTGATTTTCTATCGTGTTATTACTAATATTTGATGGCTATTTATAATTGATTAAACTTACCATCTTTACAAGCTAAATAAATAGATAAATTTTATTCGTTATTGTGAGATGAAAAAAAAATCTAAAAAAAAAATTTTTATAATCAATCACGTGAATTTTTATTATTGCGCCCGGTATTCAGTGTTGTGTGGGAAACATGGCATGTAACGTTATATTCCAATCAAATTTTGAATCTCAGAAGATAGTTTCTAAATTTATACTAGTTACACGACGAAATTTCAACACTCCCGGTATTATAATATGATTTAGGTGATTTTAGGTTGAATTTTTTTTATCTTAGTTGATGTAATTATTTTATTTTTAATCTGATTAGAGTGAAGAAGCATTTGTATGATGTGTAATTGTTTGAAACCATCATTGAGATCAAAAAATTTTATTTGTTAAAAAAGGGATCATCTATCAAATAAAATATACATAAATATAGAATGATTATAACAAAATAGTATTATTTAAAAGTTTTTATTTATTATTCTTTTTTTAACAATGTATTTGCCACCCTTTCTGCTTCACGTAATTGTTTATATGAATCTATAATCATTATCAAAGGCAATATGAGATAAGGTGTATAGGCCATCAATAAAAAATTTCTTTGAGATTCACTTAATCCCTCATTACTACCAAACATCAATTCACTAATACAAGCTAGAGTTGTTGTGGCCGTATGACTTGCATAGATTAGCAGCAGTAATCTGATTGATTTATCGCCTGTAAAAAAATAAAAATTAATGAAAATGAAAGACTTGTATTTCAAACATAAAATTAATTTCTGTTTGCTTATATTCATATTATAATAATACCTTTCCATAAACTGATTGAGGCATAAAAAAAGAATGGTAATTGTAAAAATAATTCACAAAATAAAAAACTTTTAAACCAAATTCTTGTAGTAGTATATAATGGATCATTGAAGTTTTCTATGTACCATTTATTAATTGATGACAAAAAACTTGGAAGAATTGTTTCAGGATAAATTGAAGTTGTATCTAATAATAATGCAGGTGGAATATGAGTAACAAAATAGATGAAATAGATGAAATCTAATGAACGATGAAAACTTGAATTCATAATTATGATTGATATATTAATATTAATATTAATATTTATTTTTTTCTAACTTTTCGATGTAGATCATAATGTAAAAAGGTGGATCATTACTTATTTTTGCTGTCTTCCTTGACTAAATAAAGTTAAAAAAATTCACCAGACATAATTATCTTATAAAAGAAAGGGTGTGTTTGTTAATTTGCAATAGAGTTGCACAAGATCAAGTTTGGTGATTGACGTAACCTTTGGTAATTGTTACTTAACCATTTTTGCCAGTGAATTTGAATATTTGGTGCACATCATAAAAGTATTTCAAAATGAAATTCTGTATTCGCGTTTTACCTTTATTTTTTAATTGAATTTGGAAAAAAAAAATGAAATTTATTAAAAAATATCAAACATCAAAGGTTTATATTATTTATTATTTATTATTTTTCTTTTAAAAGAATGCAATTTTCATTAAAAAAATCTTTTAAATAGTTACCTGCCTCCTGTGTATGGTTTTTTTTTAATTTGTATTTAGGATGGTTTATCTTACATGTTATCTACTCCTTCTAAGTTGAAAAATAAAGAAAATAGTGATGAAAACAATAGCGAAATTGTTAATTTACATAATGATGGTATTTGGGAAAAGGCTGAAAAAGTTCTTAATACGAAACCAGAATCAATTGAAATTTATGAAAAATTGAATTCAATAACTACCAATCCCAATAATAAAACTAAAAAAAAATCATTATTAATGCCAAATACCTGTCAAAACATGATTGATAATTGTCTTCAAGAAAATCATTGTAATCATTGAATTTTTTTTTTTTTTGAAAATACTATTGAATTAATAATGAATCTTAACAATATTTTCAAATTTAGATAGTGGAGCAATTGATTTGATTGGATCTTTTTATAATCAATCATACAATCCTTCAGGGTATGTATTAAATAATTTTTTCTTTGGATTTAAAATTATTAAAAACAATTCATTGTGAATAAATATAAATTAATTAACTATATTCTTTATTTTCGCATTTTTTTGTAGAAAACATATTCGTCAATTGGTTGATTTGGTGATTAATGATCAAAAGGTTAATTATAGAATGGCTCTGAAAGCACATAAAATTTTAAATCAAATTTTACAACAAGAGGGTTCTTTACCTTTTGAGAATATTTGGTCGTCATCTCCTTCTTCAAGTGATTTTGATAGTCAAATAAATGAAATAGATGACATTTGGAAAGAATATAAAGATTTTTGGAATTTCTTCAAAAAAACGATGTTCCAACCTCATCTAATGGATGATGATAAATCTCAAGTAAGTCAATAATTATCATTCAGTTGATTTTTTTAGTACATATTTATTGATTGAACACATGTATATAATTTAGAGAAAACTCTTGTTGTTTGAACATATAGTAAGTGTGTTAGAAGTTGATATAAAATTAAAACAAGGTAAAAAACAATTGAAATATATAAATACCTGTCCTCTTTAAATCACTATATAATTGTTAAAATATACATCTATCAATTTTTTATTTAGAAAATTTATCTTCAACAATATTTTTACAACTTATTCCAAACAATTATGGAGCCCAACAACGTACAACAAACATTAAAACTCCTGTTGATATATTAATTTCAATATTTGACAAAGATGAAATATCTAAAGATTTTGTAAACATGATCCAAAGATTATTAGATTTGGTAAAGTCTGCTTTTGCTTATAATTTAAATTAACAGAATTAATTTTATTTAGAATTGAATATTAAAAATAAAAAGACTTTTGATTAATAATTTTAGATGATAATTCTTTCATACTCTGAACATATTTGCTCTAAAACTTTGACAACTGAGATATACTTGAAATCCAAGCATCTTGATTCATCAAAATTCCAATTATTTCTTCAAGTGAGTTTGGTGTAGATGTGTATATATTCTATTTATTTATTTATTTATTCATTTATTTATTTATGCTTTATTAATAAATAATCTTGATTTTTATTTATAGACTTTAATATCAAACACCTTTAAAGCAAAGTTGCTTGATTTAGCATTATCCAATGCAGATATTAACTCAGCTGGTCGTAATTATCGACACTTGATAAAATCACAATTAAGTTTATCAAAAATAATTAATGTTTATTTTGATTCAATTCCATTTAAAAAAACCAAAAAAGGTGATATTATGTCTGATTTAGCATGGAGACATTATTATATGCTATATTGGATCCTTCAAAGTTACATTTCTTCAAAAATCATACGAGTTAATAATTGCATTAATAATAACCGTAATACTAGAAGGAATAGCGGTGATGATTCAATAATGATGATTTGTGGATTAGATGATGAAGAATATGAATTAGTGATTAATAACACAGTGGTCAACAAAATCAACAATTTGCAAGAATCAATCAAGAAAAATAATATCATTAGTTCAGGTATAAAATTTCAAGTACAATTTTTATTGGAAATGCTCAGTTTGAATATTGAAAGTCTTAAATTGCTGTGTAAGCGAGGGAAACATGATAAAAAAGGTGTAAATAAATAGATACATGTATACATAAAGAATTCATTTAATATATAGATATATATGTATATATTATAAATTTCTTTATCTGTAATATATACATATCAATAAATTTACAATAATAATAATAAAATTTGTTTACGATTGATAATTTTCAATATAAATCCAAACCTGCACAAAAAAATTACTGATTACACTAATCCGACAATTTCTTCTTGATAATGTCTCATTCTATAGATGGGAACATACTAATCCAACAACATCCAACAGACGAATTAGAAGGTATATCATCTAATAACATTCACACGAGTGATATTTTTTATAGATCAATTTGTTGTGGCAGTATACTGACTGAATTAATTCAGAAGGTTGGCCCTTCTACAAGACATTACAGATAATGATAATGACGATGATGATCCAACTGCTAACGTGTCTGAAATAGAAGAAGACTGGGAGGAACTTGTTGAGCAATTAGAGCAAATTTTATTTGGTTTGATACTTCTTTCGTTAAGACGATGGCTGGGTAGAAAGTTTTCTTTCTAGGGTAGAATTTTTTTATTCATATATTTACTTTGTAATTAATTATATAAACGTGAATTTTTAGCTTGGACGAGATTTATAAAGTGTGCATTAATCAACCATAATCATCACCTCTCACCGATAAAGTAGTTTCAATAGAAAATCTTGGATTAAAAACCTGAAGAAAAAAGATAATTGACTTGGAATAAAAGAGGTCATGTTTACTACACTTACACACGCTCTCGCACAAATATATTAAAGATTAGAAATTTCAACAAATATAATAATCATGTCATTATTATTTTATATCCATAGATTTAAAATTATTTATTTTTTGCAAAATATTTAGAATCTTTCTTTCAGAGATATTGGGCAAAATGAAAAATTTTTTGTCAAATATTTTATTAAAATAATTTTTACGAAAATCAGAAGTTTATAACAACAAGATCAATAAATTGACATCTGTCGACAATGAACAAAAGTCAGATAAAACACACATGTGTTTTCCTCATGTATATATATATAATTCCTCTTTTGATCATTATCACCTCTCCAAAACATTTTTAATTGATATTAACTCCAAATTGATAAAAATGCTAATGGGCCCTTTTCTGCTTGTCATCGTCTAATGATTTCACTTTTCTTTTCAATGTTTTAAATTCTTTATGATCTAATTGACTTTATTACGAATTTTTGGAAATATATCAATTGATTTATTTTAGAAACTTGGAAATTTTTGTTATTCGCGCACATCTGGATAAATAATCTATCAAATTTAGAAGCTTGGAAACCTTTGTTACTTGCGGACAAGCAATCTATCAATTGTTGGTTTATTGATTTATTGTAGAAACTTTGGAAAAGGTTGCTACTCGAAAACATTTGGACAAATAATCTATCAATTGTTTGTTTATTTTAGAAAATTTGTTGCTTGTAAATCTGTTGTTTTGTTGCTTATTTTAATGCTGACTGATCTTTAATTAAAAATAATCTATTTGAAAAGTATCCGGCCGGATACTTGGCAGATGACCCCCATCAAAAATCCGTTATGACAAACATTTTAATTAATATTAATATTAATAAAAAAAGGCCAATATTTAAATCTGTTGTAACAAGAAATCCGCTATGGCGAGATCCGCTATGACGAGGTTTGACTGTATGTTGTTTCAAACTCAGATAATTTAAGAGCATTTTTATTTTATTAATAATATTATCGCATTATTATTACGCATAGCTAATATTAACTTCTAAATCAAAATCGAAAACATCAAATTAACGCAACTCCATAAGGTCATTTTATGATATATTTCGTTTACATGGTTATCATTACTATTAAATAATAATAATTTATTAAACTTATGTAACGTCAAAGGCAAAGTAGATGGAAAAAGTATGTATACAATTGAAATTCAGGAAGGAGTGGTATTCATCGAAATTGCATTCGGGATCCTTTTCTTCTTGTTAGTCACACATGAAAAGTTCATGTAATAAGATGATACTTGTGCGATCATTGCACCTAAGCTCAATCTATTAGATTTAACATTATTCAATTTATTATTTTTGCGTTTGAGAATGATCAAGTAATTCTACAACTTGGAAATAATTTTCATCTATTTATTACAATAACTACTTTCTTTCAAAATTGGTTGACATTTCAGGTTTTTTTGGAGATTAATTATAATATTATTATTATTAACAAAAAAAAAATATATAACAGATAGCAACAACATCAATTCAACTGTCTTTACTGCCTAATCAATCAAATCAACCAACAAAAGGACGTAAATTGCCGATCGAGATGATTATAAATGAGTTTCATATTAATTATTGTTATATTAATATAAGGATAGTTCTAACAAATTATGATCACGTTACAAATGACCAAATTTTGATCCCTGAAATTCTTGGTAATACAAACGTTCACTTTGTCTGCCCCATATGTTAATTAATTAATTGCTTTTGCTACTTTTTAATTTGGCCAAGACCTCTCTGGTCCACACTTTTCAATCTTGTGTAATCTTGAATCATGGATTGGTCAGTATTTATATAAGAAAAGTCAAAATTTAAGATTCAATCCTTGAGTTTTGTGTACAGTAATCTGCAGAGGAAAGAAACTGTTGCCTTGACGTAGA